TCCCTTTCTTCGCAATCGGTATTACGAAGTTCCCTGGCTTCTGCCCTTTAGCCTTGTCTCGGTACTTGGAGTTTGCCTCTGCATTCTCCACCTCCTCGGACCCTTTCACGACTAAGCGCTCTCCCCCCATGAGAGCAAGGGATCGATGACTTCACGGAAGTCTAGCCTCTACGGTACTATGGCGTTGTCATGCCCATGGCCCTACTATCCATCGCCTCACATCTGTATCCCTTTCTTCGCAATCGGTAGACCTGTCTCTGTGGCACTCTTCCGAGTCCGCCTCAATTCTAACCGATGTTTGGTTTTGGGTAGCTAAGTCCCTCTAGACTCGTCGTCGCCTCCTCGCCCCTTTCGACCCCCTGCTTCAACATCTCTGTGTTCTCCAAGCAGTTCCCCTTGGTCGATGGAAAGACAGACTACAACTCCTATGCATGGCCTCTGCCATCATGTTACAGGGTTCGCACCGATTCTGTTCTCCTTAGCTTCCTTGGTAGTAACGTTCGCTTACTCGGCCTGGTCCTCTGACTTGCTGGGCTCCCTTAAGCGAATATGGGCTTTGGAGCAGTCCAACTCTTCAATCGCTCTGATCATACCTCTACATGATCAAGTCCCTCCCATGGGACTTACTGATACTTGCATTTGAACTTTTCGCTCGGTGGTACACAACCCCCATATGCTAATGACCAAGGCTTTCATCCGATGCAAAATTCGATGCACACACGGAAGACCCGCCTCTGCAGTACCATGGCTTTCACTGCTTGAATCCATAGCCCTTCTTGTAGTTGTGTTGTTTACCGAAGTGGAGCTCCCAATAGCTCCCGATCATACCTCCGTATGATATAGTCCCTCACGGGACTAGATTCGTGTGTATCGCATTGCCACAAACTATTCCACTATGATCCGTTGCACTATGTCGCCTCCTGGTGACATCTCCATTGCATTCTGATTCTTGTGGGATAAACTCGGATTGTGATCCCTCCATGTATGGCCTCTGCCAACACATTGCAAGGCCTCTTCCACTTTTGATTGTGTTCGCTCCTTTGGCAATCGACCTTCGTCCACCCGCTCTCGGGTCACACTTGGACGAAGCACCGCTCTAAGACAGTCCATCGTCTAGTAGCTCCCGAAGTCCACCGACTTCGCTAAAATTGGTGCACCATTGTTTGGATCTTCGGCCTCTGCCCCTACCAGCACAATCTCTGCTACGCACCGCATCCTTCATGACAACTTGAATGGCAACACTATGGCATATTCTTTAAGAATACACGCCTCCGTGTCCTCTTGCCTCGTGCCAAGGTCTTCTGAACCCAACTTCGCCTCCGTAGGTTGAGTCGCCTTAGTTCCTCGGTTAAATGCTTCTCTGAGGTAAGGTGTATGTGCCTTGAAGCTCCCTTCGTCTTTGGCACCATGCAGAATGAGCCCGCTCCATCATAATGAGGGACCCATGGAACGACATGATCCCGCTCTTGCCTCTGCAAGAGTTCATGTCTTTGACCTCTATTCAAGGAAAGCTCTGTGCCTCCGCTCCATGTTTCATTTTTCTATGCTAGCTCCTTTCATGCGGCTTGGGTACTTCGCCAAGTTACACCCAAGTTGCTCCGCTCCTCGATTTGCATTGAGTTGATGATGGTCCTCACGCCCACCATTCCACGGGTCAGCCCTCCATTGAGTCTGATCTCCATATCGACTTCAAGTGTGCCTTCATTTGTGTTGCCTTGGATCGCTCCCCCACTTAATCTTGCAATGCATCCCCACAATGCATTACCTCAAGCGAGATCATACGACAACTCCTCGCCGCTCGCTCGGTTCGTTGAGCTTTGTGAAGTTATTTTTGAGGTGCTCCTCAACATGTGCGGTCCGTTGCACATGGTTCTCCCTCTTGTCACAGATAAAATTCTAAACAGGATGTTTGATGTAATGCTTATGTATGTTTGTGTCTTTTGGTTTGTTCATGCTTTGCACAGCATGTAGAGGGACGGTCAAAGGCTTAACAACCCCATTTTAGCTAGGTTTGATGGCTTTTTTAGGCTTGTAAATAAAGGTTGTGTCATGTGGACACTTGTGAGAGATATTCAGTTTGTAGTGGACCATTTTGACCCTTTGTCATTCAGAGCTTATAAAGTCTGTTTGTAATTTGCATTGGCTATAAAGTGTTTTCGAAAATGTTTGCTCGTGGATCCTGAGTAGGGCGCTTTCTCTAACCCGTTTTCTCTTTTGTAAGTCCTAAGGGACCATGGGAGGTTTCGGGGAGGCTGACCTTTGCGGACGGACACGCAAGGGTGCTGCGCGACTTAGGCAAAACCAACTAAGTCCATGACACTCTGGAGAGTCGGGACTTATCTCTCCTGGATATCTATCCTGTTGAAGCAACTTCTCTCTTCGCTTCTTTCTCTTTGAAAGTTTCGGATACCATTATCCCCTTGGACTACTTCGCCTTGCTGAACAAACTGTGCATTGTTTTGCCTCTAGCAAACGCACTTGCTAGATTGCGACTCCACATCAATACAACCCCCGCTGCACCCCTCAAGGCCTAACAACATGCTGAACTTACTGAACACTTCAGCCTCCTACGGATGTATCCTTCTCATACTAAAAAGAAAGTTTCAATGCTCCATGGCACCGAGTTTCGGTCGCCTTGGGATGGCCAGAAACACTCCATCGTTCGCATATAATCCTTTGCATGAGTATCAAATTCTTCGAGTTAGCAATTCCCCTCACCTCTGTAAACTTTGCACAACTCTTTCAGTCGCTGAACAACTCATTCCACCTTACATGGTCTCATCCTTTACCAAGCGCCTCACTTGCCTTGAGCACCATCAAGTATGGTTGCCAATGTTGAGCCGTAGCTCAAACTCAGCCATCCTAACCTTTATGCGCTATGCATTCTTCCTAGCTTGCTTGTCCTAGTGGTGCCTCTTGCACGAAGGGTTGGCCATTCCTCTGAATGCTAATCTCAGATGTCCGCTCCTTTAAGCGACTCATTTTCCCTACATCTCCATGCACGTTTTCCCCCAAACGGTCGCGCGTGCTGGCTGCCCTCAATGTAGCCCCGCTAGGTCCCCCACGTTTGCATACCAAGTGTTTCTATAAGCGCTTGTCTCGCTCTGATACCATCTGTCACGAACTTAGCTGGTTTTGCCTAAGTCATGCAGCACCCTTGCATGTCCATCCACAAAGGTCAGCCTCCCCGAAACATCCTATGGTCCCTTAGGACCTACAAAAGAGAAAACGGGTTAGAGAAAGTACCTCACTCGGGATCCACAAGCAATCATTTCAGTAAACACTTCATAGCCAATGCAAATTACAAACAGACTTTACAAGTTCTAAACGATCGCACAACAAAGGGTCAAAATGGTCCACTATAGATCGAAAGAAAATGAGGCTACTAAGCCTACTGCTAGCCCTTTACATGCTGTGTAAAACATTAACAAATCAAAAGACACAGACATACATAAGCATTACGTCAAACACCCCATTTACAATTTTGTCCGTGACACAATGTTGCCCTGCAACATGTCACCTCACATAAAACCTGCCCATGATTTCCTATAAATTATTTCCTCTATTATATTATAAACACATTAAGTATATATACCAATCATATTATATATATTATCATAATTTATTCACATTAATCAAGGTAGGGAAACTAATATATTCAGCTGTGTGGATTAGGATTGTATGTCTTGTCAACCAGATTAAGGACAAAGCAGGAGTTATAAGTAAAACCTGCCCCCCTTGTATGCATCCCTAGTGCCTGGTGCAATTCCAATAACAATGCTATTGCAAATTTACATGCTCAGTGCTTTCTGATGATTCTACCCGGCATTAATTTTTTTAATAATATAAAGAGAAACAATGAAATTACAGACAAAAAGTTCAACAAATATTATTGTTTTGTTGAGTGTAATATCAGCATACGCAAACAAAACACAAGCATATTAGTCTCCATCTGATGATTCTACCCGGCATTAATTTTTTTAATAATATAAAGAGAAACAATGAAATTACAGACAAAAAGTTCAACAAATATTATTGTTTTGTTGAGTGTAATATCAGCATACGCAAACAAAACACAAGCATATTAGTCTCCATCAGAAAGTTGTATACCAACAGAGTTGTACATGCATGTGTATTGCAATTGGCCATGCAAAGAGTATACATATGTATTGCAATTTTCTAATCACATAGAAGTACCAGAAATAATATTGAATAAAATATTAGGAAATTTTGTTAGAGACAATCTTTTATGCCACCAGACCAGAGGTTTCTCGCACATGAAAAGATTGAAGTGCCAACAGGACATGGCAACCAGTTTGAGTAACATAAGAAGAAGAAGAAGAAGAAATGATTACACACCTTTAGTGGCCTCAAGATCAGTGATACATATTGTGAAGGTATCACAGGAAGTTTATTAGTCAGCCTATATGTTGCAGTGACTCCTTTCAGCTGCCTTAAGTCCTACCAATGAAATAAATAAGGTGGGTTAGTATCAAACTAGCAATTGTGATTTACCAACAGATCAACTTGGAAAATCATTGTTAATAGTCCAGAAGTCTGAATATCACTACTTATAATCTTTTGCAAGAAATAATCAAATGAAATATATATCAAGCCAACAAAATGACTGCATGTTCAAGAATAGTATTGTGCTTTCTATATTATAAATTGTCTTATATTGCATGTGACATTTTCAAAAGGAAAAGGCATAATGTTTTTGAAGGGATTATTTTTACATTGACATCATACAATCGGCTGTGTAAATTGATTTGATTGAATATTTGCATTTAATAGATATTTTGGCTATAATTTGTACCACTAGAGCAAGATTAGACACCCTCCTTTTCCTTTTTGTTGTTCTTTTAGGCAAAAAAACCTGAAGAAGCTTACATCCTTGATATTATCAACAATTTTCAGACACCAATAAGACCACTTCTTTGGATATTTTGAGAAATGATCTCCCTTATAAGAGTTAAATAATGCTAGATTCCTTATCGCAGGATAGATACCTTGATCAATAAATGATAAAATATTCTTAAGAAAACCTTCCTAGAATCTAAACTCATGTCATCCTTTTATCGCCACCATGTCATAGCTTCACATGTTAAATTTGGCTTCAAGAAGCTCCAGGTTGGATCATCTGCAGATCCCAAGTTAGACAAAGCAATGTCATCATAACATAGCATCAACAGATTACCTTTCGCCTTTGTTTTTTGAAAATATTACTGCATTAGCAATGTAATGTCCTTCCAGCCTTTTCTTACATCCATAATCTTTGAGAACCATTTAGAAATACAATCGGATAAATGGAATATGCCTTGTGTTATCATTTAGAAAGATTTTGGAAGTTCCTCTCTCTTATTGAAGTGCACGAACTAAATTTCAAGTTAGCCCCTTGTTACATATTGTGAACGCAAACAATGCTTCTCAACTCCTAAGAAGCCCATCAAATAAATACAAGGATATATAGTGTGCACAGGCACTAAAACATACACAAACATGCACACATGGTAATGTGTATCTATGTATATATTATCATGTAACTGAATCAGGTACACACATAAACAGATAACTTAATACACCGGATTGCTTATTACCTATGTCCTTGGCTTTTACACACGTTTGATTGCCCAAATTTCCAAATTATCTACGAGCATATAAGTTCATGTATTATGGCCTCCAGAAGATATCAGATACAAAAGCACAGTGATTGGTAGAGATTCAACACATTAATAACAATAGTATCTATTATGTGCAACAAGGACTTGTCATAGCAATAATCTCCTCCATTTGCAAATATTTTGATATGATTACTTATATGATTTACCTCCACAGATTTCTCAACTATAGCCTCAACCATTGTATCCATTATGGCAGGTAATAGATCCTCTAAATTTTTTCCAGCTTGCAATATGCTTTGTCTTACAAGATCAACTACTTCATCCGAGCATGACCCAAGAACTTGAATCACTTGTCCAAGAAAGACACCAGAAAGCTCGCTTCCCAGAAAAGTCACATCATGCATTACCTGCAAAAGAAGCACAATGTGAATACACATCTATAAAAAGATAAATTTTCCAATTAAACTTCAAAAATATAGCAGATATGAGATTATCCAACTCATAAAAGTGTTCACACCCTTTTTTTATTTTTTTTATATATTAATGTACCAAAAATATGAATGATACAGTAATATATCACTTCAACATCAAAAAATTCTTAGCCATGATTATCCGTGTCACTTTCTGCAGGTTCTTGCCAAGGTCAACAACCACATGTTGCACTCTGTAGATGCATAGCTGGTGCAAATATAGTGGTGGAAAATGATTCTTTTGCAAGATAAGTGAGCTACTCTCTAGTGGATCCTCTAATGATGGCATTGATTGTGGTTGAACTGCAATGCAAAGTGATGATGGAATGTTCAGATTTTGTGCTATGAGTGAACTGAGATTCCTCAATTTCTGTCCACAGGAACCTAATAAGTAGAGGACCAAACCATGTTAGCTCAAGCACTGAGCCACTTGACACAACAATTTTTTGGCAGGAGAGCAGAAGTACAGATGTAGGTTCTTTCTTGCCAAGAATTAAGCCACTAGAAAAAAGGGCTAGCAACAGATTTCATGTCAGTTCTCAAGAAGCATACATGGCCCACTGATGCAAGGATCTCAGTTCTACACTAATTTATACTATGTTAACCTGATTCCCTCACTATATGACTCAAATATAAGTAAATTTGATGATATAGTTGTACATGATCCGCATCTCTTTTATGCAAATTTTCTTTATATCCTGGTATTTTGCCCAGCCATCAACTCCCAAATGAAAGATCTAGATAAAATGCATATGGCAAGATCAAATATTGTTGAGGCACCAGAGAAAGAATAAACTCCAAGATAACTGTCACCCTGCATAGTTAAAACAATCCAAAATGATAGAGACCTAGACAACATCTTGCATGAGTTCATCTGAGAATTGAAACCTACAAACTCTGATATCCCATCAACTGATTTGTAGACCTTATTCAAATTAAAGTTGTGACTCCAATAAATTAATAATATACCCATTCTCCAAGAAGAATGAAGATTCCTTATCTAATGTCTAAATTCGAGGACCTTATATCCACTTTGACCTGAAGTAATGCCATATTGCTGCATATGAGCATGTCATCTTATTTTCCTGATTTCAAATTCAATTTTTGAATATCCAATCCCAAGTTTGAAGAGCATTAGCTAATTGAGAACCATCTCAAACTTCAGAATAACACATATCAACATAGTTCTTCGGCGAACAAATTTTGGGTGTCCCCTTGCACTAATAGAGGTAAATGTGAGGGACAGGTCTGTGTCCCAGAACACAATAGTTGGAAATGTAGATCTCTGAGAATCTACCTATCAAGATCCAATGTCAAGCAAAAAGCCATAAGTTACCACTGGAAGTTAATTATGCAAAATTTAGAAGACCTGTATCGATGAAAATTGTGAGAAGAAGAATTAAAATTGAAACATGGATTATATTTGTAGTCTTACATAAATAAAATCTTCTACTTGTGCAGAAATAGACCATTCAGAATTCTGCACAGGCCTTGAGCTAGCACTACGTGCTTTGCGAGCAGACAAACCATGAGATAGCCAAGACGAGTACCTGCTTTCGTGCTAAAAAATATACATAAGAGGGAAAAAAAGAAGTGAAATCATATAGTCACATGGAACAGGCTAACCTTGAAACAAGTTGCAATGTTAAGCGTAGAAACTTGTCCGAGTGAGAAAGAATAAGAACATCATCACTCCAGCAAGATTTCAAGCTTTCCATCAATGTAATACTCTGCTTCATTGTCAACTTATGGGGTTTCCCTTGAATATCAACAGGGTTAATTGAAGAGGCCATAAGGGCAGAATCAAGTGCACCTGCAATTTCCTGAAATCTGATAGAAAGAAACCACTAAATATAAGCTAGGCCAAAGTTCTTTTTAAATCCCACAAACACAGGTACTCAGAAATCATGTTTAGGTACCTCAAGGAGAAATAGACACCAACATTCCACTGTCGTATGAAGTCCATATACACAACTTCTGAACGAAATTTAACTACAGCAGATCTAGATGGGCAGTAACCTAGCATATTACAAAGAAAATATGGTCAAATAGCATGAACAAAACAAAGTTTGAAAAGGCTATTTTTTGAATAGTATGAAATAAAGGATGTGCTAGTTAAATTGCATATGAAGATATTTAAAAATTTAAAACAACATGAGGAAACTGAGACAAGCAAAAACTAAACATGATAGGATCTACAGAATAGCAAATCAGCTTAATGACTTGACTTAACGGCGTATACTTCAAAGAGTCCTTTTAACTCCAACCAAAATGGCAATGAACTTGAGAATTTCACAAAAAATGAATTATGAGAACTTATAACTCCAGGATGGAATCTGTACCCTCAAGAATGGCAAGAAAACCAAGGCTTGACTTGTAGTTCTTCAAAAATTCTGCTGGCCTTCCAGGAGAGAATGCCCCTGGTTTCCCCTTTTGAATAGCAATAAGGACCTCTTTAAGCACTGAATTGGCCAGGAAATCAAAAACATGGAAACCTGAATTTGCTGAAATCACAAAACAATATTGAATAAGACGATAAAACACTGAACTATAAATAAATCAAAATTATATTGCTTATATAACATGTCATGTAAAACCAAGGTTTGCCGTATAGCTCGGTACGGGCGACCTGTACCGATCAGATAGGGGACTGGTGCAAGTGATACATCAATACACCACCTTGTACCATGTGTCGGTATGGCTCGATACAACTCAATATGTATCATACTAATAGCTGGTCGGTATGCCGGTACGGACTGATAAAACGAACAATGTGCAAAATTACTATAAACAATTTTCATGTAAAACTACTATAAATTAATTTCTTAAAAACCTGTTGAAGATATCTCCAGCAAAAATTTGCAATCCTTCTCAATGCATTGCATAATCTTCTGATAATCATGCTCAAGTTCATCTGAGGAAGCACCACCAACTGTTTGCAAGTGGTCATGAGGAATAATTTGCTGAATCAGGGGAGACACAATGGTTTTTCGGAAAAGCTCTTCGGCAGCTGAGGTGTTATCAATAGCAGCAAACGCACGCAAGCAATTGTAGATTGCCTTTGCATCTCGATTTTCCAGGCCATCCACAAAACAATTGCCTAAACTACCATCTAACATCAGTGTAGCATTTTGGATCCTCTTCTCCATGTTCTCGATGAAGGGGAGATTCTGTACTGCCATAATTTAAAGCAGAAGTAAGTGACTACATAACTTTCCACAGAAAATGATATGAACTATATCAATGTTGTCATAAGAAGACAACTAGGCAATCTCCAGCCTAGGCAGGCCAACCAACGACTGAAGTACCTAGATGGGACCTAGACAGCTATCTCAGGCTTGCTTTTTCTCATACGTGGCAGATCATTAATTTATTAGCAAAAGTAAAATTTATCATTTTGAATTGTCATAAATTAGTTGTTCTTCTTTATAAAAAAATTACAAGTTCAATTATTTGCATTACATAATACACGATAATCATCAACAACATTGAGTAGCCGAGTTTGTCAAATCATTTTTAGTATGCTTCTTTTTATCTATGGTACTAGACAATTATCTTAAAGGTAGAAATATGCTTTTAAATTTTGGTTCTACTTTTATTCATGCATCTTCAAAAGGATCTTTCAGCAAACACCTAGAAATGGAACATTCAAGCTAACATTAAACAAGTCTTAGGACTTCAATTGGAACAACCAATGTGAAACTATGGACAATAAGAACACCATCTTGTAAAACTTAATGCAACATAACTGAATATAACATATCATACGTCTCATGAGAAATTACGAATAACTAAAAATAGTTTCATTAATATTTATACTTATATATTTATTATTCTTGAGAGGATAATAAAATATACATCAGAACAAACAACATTCTATATGTTTACATCCATCTCTTATAACTTATCTAACAAGCTATCAATCTTACAACTCAACCAAGAAACATTCATCTTATGAGCAAACAGCAAACAACAACATCACCTAAATGGTGTAGAAGAAAACATTAGCACAAACATTCTTCATAGCCAATTTCCAATTTGAAATAATGAATATACCAGTATCTGCAGATGTATTATTAGTACTCTCAGTAATGATTGACATTCTTACATTTTCTACTGGTTTGTAAATTTTGTCATGTTTTAAGTTTCTTAAAAGTTGTGCTTTTCTATTTTATCAATATTCATTTACCATCAAGCAGATAAAAAATTTGCAACAACTTCTACTCCCTATGCTAAAAACACCATTAAAGTTAAGCACATATTGAAAAGATAAACAAAATCAACAATATGAAACTAAATTGAAAGACTATGTAACCTTTGCATGACTAGTGTAAAATTTAAGCCGATTCATCTCACTGGCAATTCTTTCCAAGAGAATGCTTTGATCCTCTCTAAGATTTGACCCGATTTCGACATTCTGTATGGAATTAGCATTGGTTAAGGAACCTTTCTCACTAGACACTGTGTCTGGACTTGACTGATTAGAGTGAGTAGTTGGTAATTCCTTGATAAGTTTCTCAACCTGCAAAAGAGAATACTTGATATTTCATTCATACTCTCAAACAAGAGAACATGGTAAAAGTTCACAAAACACTGAAATTCCATACTATAATCAAACAACAAGAATAGACATCTCATGGAAGCAGTATGCAGAGACAACATAGTCCATGCAGAAAAGAAATTATATGATAGCAAAACTTGAATGAAAATTCAGTAGTACAGTTACAGGCTAGGAACAAGGTACTCAGTGAAAAACAGGTTACAAGATCTTCAGAAATGAAAGCAGATAATTATTCTGATCCTTATTGGCGAGGCTCAAACCAAAGACCACTGGCAAAAGTTTAGGCGGACACAACTACAGAATGATAAATAGTCCACAACCAGAGCTCTGAAATACTATAAGACAGATCAAACAGAGTTCAATAAGGTGTCCTCACACTGATCTACAACTGGTCCACCAGGAAATCACTCTCAAGAATGCATAGGAATTTACTTATATTGACATGTAAAAATGCAACAGTGTGTCAAGGGCAGCCGAAATATAGAATTTTGATCAATTACATAGGATCAACGTCAGAGTTCAATCAGGCTTTAATTTCTATAAAAATAATCTTGACATACAACCTATTCTAAAATCTGCACTATAACGTTAATCCTGTCAGATAATTCAAATGTACAAATAGACAATTCAAAGATTACCCAGAAGACGATATCGACAGTAACAAGAACAAGGTAGAAAGGCTCGAGTTCAGGGTCACCTTGGAGACCACGTGGAAGGTGTCAAGAAGCAGCTGGAGGATCTCCCTTGCAGCCGACGCCTCAGACCGCTGGCGAAGGCCGCTGCGGATGGCGACGAGGGCGGCGTCCACGACGGCACGGAAAGAAGCTACCTTATCGCGGAATTCGACGAGCGGGGCGCGCATGCGGCCGGCAGCCGCGTCGACGTCGACGAGGCGGGTGCTGAGGCCGACGAAGTCGGCGTAGTCGCGGTTAATGAGGTCGACGAGCTCGGCCTTGAGGTCGGCGAGGTGGGATCGGAGCTCCGCGGCAAGGCTCTCGAGGGGGACGAAGGAGCGGAGGTCGGCGACGTAGAACTCGGGTACGAAGTCGGGGCGGAGGAAGGAGGAGGACTTGAACCAGGGGGGTTTCGCGTCGATGGGGTCGCCGAAGAGGTCCGTCGCCGGGGATCGTGGCGTCACAAGGTCCGTCATGGTTGGCTTCGAAGACCTCTCTCGCTGGTCTGGATCTGGATCTGCGCGATTTGGTTTGGGGGCCAGGAAGAAGAGGGGAACGGGCGATCAAACGAGTTGTACCGTCTCAGTGTGCCCGGATCCGATCCAGGAACCGGATCCGTTAAAGAAGAAGATGACGTGGATTTTATTTTCTTTTTGTGGGTTTATGCGTTTGAAAATACCGTTTTTATTTTATAAAAATAATAATAGACGCTGGTTAGATTTCATATATCGTTGATAAAAAATAATAATTATATCATTTCCTCATAAGGGTTATACATTTATATCGTTGATAAAATCTCAATTAATATCATCTACAATAAAAAGTGACTAAGTTGTATTTTAATTTTTTTTCAAAATAAACATATTACATACGAGGAGATATTTTGGGATATGCTTCAAATACTTATTATTTTAAATGAATGTAGCATGTATAACGAAAACATGATGGATGCATAGAAATACTTCAAAATATATTACGTGTATCAAGCGCTTTATATATTTTTAAGTCTCGGATAACATCTTGTATGCAATTTAAACATTTTAGGGTGTGTCGAGTACTTTGGATGCATTTTGTCCGGATATTTTTGTTTTAGGATCGGAGCGACACTAAGAGCGGATTAAAACTCATAAGTTTAAAATTGATTTTATAAATATGTAAAGATTTCGATTCAACGAATGATGACTTAGCTAAAATAGTTCGAGTAAAGGTAATCAAGAGTAGGGAGATGAAAACCGAATGATTTACAGCTAAGTAGAGAAATGGTTCATAATATTAAACACTCACACATTCAAGGAACACCACGATGTATAGTGGTTCGGTCAAGTGACCTACATCCACTTTCGAAGCCTTCTTCAATGAGGCTCCCAACTTCCACTAGCAAATCACTTTGAAGGGGACAGACCAAATACCCCTCTTACAACCTTCTTACAAGTGATATACACTCTTACAGATTTTTTAAAGAGAAAGAGAGATGTGAACACTTAAGCTATTGAAAATAAGACTTTGCTAAAGCTTTTTCTCACTTTCTAACTTGTCAAAAAGGTGTTATCTCTACTAAGAATTGAGGGGTATTTATAAGCCCCAAGAGGATTCAAATTTGGGCTCCAAATTTGAATTACTTTTGGGTTTCCCGGTGCTAGCGGTGCCATCGCTTATCAGTGGCGATGCCACCGCCTGTTAGTGTCTGACACTGACAGTGTACTGGTGGTGCCACCGCCAGACCTCTTGGGTTTTAGGTGGTGCCACCACCCAGTCCAGCAGTGTACTAGCGGTGCCACCGCCAGACCTCTCATGTTCTAGGTGGTGCCACCGCCCAGTCCAGTGGTGCCACCGCTTGGACTATTCCAGCTCACTGGTTGGGCTCCAAACTTGGCCCAAACCAATCCAAACTCGGGCTCAATTAGCCCCTAACCGGGTTATAGGATTAACCCTTAATCCTAACCCAAATTACATGCAAACTATGAAATCAAGACATAGTCCTAAGGAAATTTTTAAGCAGCAACGTCGAGTTTCCCTCCGGCGAGCTTTCCAGTGAACTTCCGGCGGACTTCCAATACACCCTCGAATTTCTTTCGATGGACTCCCAACAGGCTCCCGGTCTTATGGCGAGTTCAACCAGTCTTTGTCAAGTATCCAAACTTTCTCGGTGATCTCTACGAACCTCCGACGATCTTTCCGGCGAACTTTCGAAAACTTCGATAAGTCCCCGATTCTTTCTCGGTTGGTTCCGGTAGCACTTTCGACGATTCTTCAGACTTTCGGCGGACTCTTGAACACCCATCGAACTTAACTCCGGTAAACTTACTTTATTTCTTCATGCTATCGTATTAATCCTGCACATGTAAAACACACTTCGATCTAGACAATTAATCCTAAGCATCTAATCAAGTTGTCAAGCATGTCATTGGTCCCTCGACGCTTCGTTCGATTTTTCAACGCATTGTCCTCTCTTGCGGCCTATTGCCCAATCGGTCAGTTGACTCTACAACTCTGATATCCTTGACACAATCTCCGCTCTTCTTGGCCCAATGCCCGAATCCACGGCCCGAAGCCTTATGTCGATATGTCGACTAATCCACCAGCCTGACGTCCAATCTTCTGACATGTTCCTCCGGCCCAATATGATTTTCCTACTTTAATTGTCTCATCCTGATCGAAATATCCTACGCGACTCAAAATACAGATTAAAATATAAACATATATTGATTGATTTTATCATCAAAATTTGAGATTCAACAATTTTGGTATGTTTTAGATGATTTTTTTATAAGGTACTTTGGGTGTGTTAGGTGTTTCAAATGCATTTGTACTCTTTGGCAAATGCATCATGCACAAAAGGAATACTTTGAGGTGCATTAAGCATCTTACATGCTTTTCTATCCTTGGTAAATATATCGTGCATATTTTGTACATATTTTGAGGTAAGTTGGGTGCTATAAACATAATAAATAAATAAATAAATAATATATATATATATATATGTATATATATGTATATATATATATAATATCTTTTAGCATAAGGCATGAACTAATATGGTGGTAAATAGATTTATTTATAACCAAAAGGTATTATGTTTGAACTTTTGTTAGTGTAGAAGTTCTCTTTTGTTCTAAGAAAAAATAAGAAAAAATGTATAATGCACGTGGGCCAAATCTTCTCACAAGCCTAAGAGTTGGCTGGTCTAGCCTTACTCATCTTAGTCAAGCTAGACTTGATCCAGCTTAGTCAAGCATTAGGCCCATGTGAGCTCAATCTGAATTAGTCGAGCCAAATTGACTTTAGTTAAGTTGATCGGGTCAAAAAGAAGAGGAGAGAGTAACCTTACGAAGGGAGAAAAATCTACAATGAGAGTTATCTTGAGGACAATTGAAAGGCAATTTCTAGTTGAAGATGTCTTGAAGGTATAACCAAATTTAAATAATCATCTTAAAGAGGTGGTCTTCTTTACAATTGTCTTGATTATATAACTATCTCAAAGATGACCAACCTAAAGGAATGATTTCTAACAATGCAACCAGCTTAGAGAGTGATCATTTTGAAGATGTGATCAACTTGCGGAAATTATCAATGCTAAGAGATCAAATTATTATCAGCTTGACGGAGCGAGGGTGTGAACATCTTTTAATTTTAGAATGTGTTATAATATTTAGCATACATTACCCATAGAGATAACTAGATATCATGAAATTGTGAAGGCTAAAGTTATATAGATTACCTATCATTTTGTCACTTCTTAACATCATCCTTTTTCTTTCTCTAACATAAGGACCTCGATTATACGTCGATTCACCATTTGGAGTAATTCAAATATGCCATCGAAGGCTTCTTATTAGTAACCATAAGAATTGTGAGAGTCTTATGCCATTGATAAATACATGGATCATCATGCATGAGTGCTAATTGACTACTTGCTATGTCTCATTATTGAACCTCATAACATAGTCGATTAGAAACTCATTCTCACCTTATCAAACAGTTAGCAATGTCATTATAGACTTCTTCGAGAGTGTTGATTGTTGACAATGTGGGGCTCAAATTCTTCAGGTGTTGCCTTATCAAAATTATCCTCACTTTGTCGATTAGGTTTAACAAAGGGACCACTCAGGCTTCATGGTCCCAAAGATCCCAGTAATCAATACTCCTTTAATAACTATATGGTATTATTCAGGATCAACTACATAAGTGACCATAATAAATACTAATCTCCGGCTATAGTCAGTGATACTCTAAATGGTGTTGAACCTAGGAAAAGAAATTGAAGGAGCATTGAGGGAGGAGGCAACTAAGGCCATAATTAAGGAGGTCCCCACTTCGATGATGGGGGAGGCACTAGGTTAAGGTTTACCTAAAGTCTTTAATCTAACATCTCCTCATTATAGTATGAGGTTTTGATTGTTAAGAGGATGATTCCTTGGTGAGATGATAGCCTCAATTTTATAAACAAGACAAATGAGATTCCTTGGTCCAAGACCTTAGAGTGGTTCAATGGCTCCAGAGGATGCTCGGAAGTTCATCTACCCAAGCTTCATTAGTCATGATCAGTTGCTTTTTCAATCCTTCTAAGATGACTTAGTTACTTAATTATGTTTAGTCATTCAATTGAGCATACACCATGGAACTAAATTATAAAGATATATCAAAGAAATCATAATTTAAAAAAAATAAAATTATTAAACTACATGTCATTATCAGTGCTGAAGACAATTGAAAAGTTGAATCGAGAAATTATGCTCTTTCGGATGAACCCCTAACCTATTTTTTGTTGAATCTCGGATTTTAATGATGAAGTCAATTGATGGGTTAATTGATCTAATCCATATTATTGAGTTATGTGTGCAAGATTAACTACGATAGCTTGAAGACATAAAGCAAGTTTACCGGAGTCAAGTTCGATGGGTGTTCGAGAGTCCGCCGAAAGTTTGAAGAATCGTCGGAAGTGCTACTGGAACCAACCGAGAAAGAATCGAGGACTTGCCGAAGTTTTTGGAAGTCCGCCGGAAAGATCATCGGAGGCTTGCGGAGATCACCAAGAAGGTTCGAATACTTGCCAAAGACTTGTTGAACTCGCCACAAGACCAGGAGCCTGTTGGGAGGCCGCCCGAAGAAATTCGAGGGTGTATCGAAAGTCCGCCGAAAGTTTGCTGGAAAGCTCGCCGGAAGGAAACTTGACGTTGCCGATTAAAAATTTACTTAGGGCTATGTCTTAATTTCGTAGTTTGCATATAATTTGGGTTAGGATTAAGGATTAACCCTATAACCCGGTTACGGGCCAATTGGGCCCGAGTTTGGACTAGTTTGAGCTAAGTTTGGAGCCCAACTAGTGAGCTGGAATAGTCCAGGCGGTGGCACCGTCGGACTGGGCGGTGGCATCGCCCAGAACCCGAGAGGTCCGACGGTGGCACCGCTAGTACACTGTCGGATTGGGTAGTGGCACCGCCCAGAACCCGAGAGGTTTGGCGGTGGCACCGCCAGTACACTGTTAATGTCAAACACTGATAAGCGGTGGCACCGCCACTGACAAGTGGTGGCACCGCCAGCA